CAGTAAAGTGTGCTAAATTCCCAAAATGCAAAGCAACTGGAACATATTTTGATAAATGAAGGTCAAATAGGCTACTGGAGACATGCTGTTTTGTTGTGCGGTGTCTGACTTATCCTTGGCCCTACCTCTGAAAGGAAATATAATTATGGTACTATACAAGTTAATCCACCCATCATTTGGGTTACCACACACATAAGTAACTGATTTCAATTTTAGAACTGCAGTCATGGCTGCTAAGCTTGTATTCTTCCTTTTTCTCTTCCTTTTTTCCCCCTTTCACTGAAGCTATAACCTGAGTGTCATTACCTCTGGTGGGACAAGGAGTTTATTTAAGTGTATTAAACATGGCTAGGGCACAGTGCAATACAGAAAATGCTGAATTGCTTTCTGAAGTTAGTAAAGGAGCTGATATTAAAAGCAGGCACCTTCACTTGCCCATGGTAATCACTGCAGTGCAGTGCTGATTACCCAGGCTAGTTTTGATCCTAGTACTTTAGGTCTCATAGCAGCACAAAACTCTATACAGGCTAGTTTAGCATGTTTCTGTGATTGCAGTGTGTCTCGGGGTGCTGGCAAGAGTATGCCCAAGGGTTGTCTAATGACAAACATTCTGGCTCTTCTACCTGTCTGCAATCCAGTGACACACTCCCAGACATCTTTCCTCCTGTGGTAGAATGGCATGCAGTTATTTTTGTGTACCTCACTCAGGAAGAGGTTTGCAAAAAGCACAGGGCAATGCTTTGATTAGAAGGAAGGAGGAAATAGAGGAAATATTTTATTAGCTTTCCTTCACTGGCACCAGAACTGGCGAGGGCTGGATTGTTAACATTCTAGTTTCACCAGGTTGATGTGGGTGAGGAGTTAGCATTCTAGTTTCACCAAGCTTATATGTGTGGGGTGTAAGAAGCTGAGGGTCAAACTATTTCAGGTATTTATTTAGAGGTGGCCAATGATGCAGGATGGGTGCCCACCAGGATTTGCAGAAATGCCAATACCTTTAAGAATTTAGCCCTCTTGCCAGATAGGTCTTACTAGTTCCCAATTACCAAAAGTTATAGCAGCATAACTAAAGGGAGCAGTGACGAAAGGGATAATCAAGGCTGGAAAGATCCTGGATCCACCAGAACTTTAATGTTCCACCATTAAAAAATTCCCTCTTTGCCACAGTATTTCCTCATATCTTTTCACACCCCTCCCTTCAGGGAACAGGAGGAGAAGAATAGGACATTGCTCAAGTCCTGAGGAGGGATTTCCTCATCCCCATCACCAGTACCTTGCTGGAAACGTGTTTGGGACTAGAAGCAATTCTTCCCTATTCCTGGCTGTGACCTATAGCAGTAGTTGTAAACTAGTGTTCTTCAGACCACCAGCCACTTCAGGGGGCCACAAGGTTGGATACATGTGAAATTGGAGTCTCTTACCCTGACTTTTTCCATGGTGCCAGACAGCATAGCTCACTGCTGTGTGGGAACATCAACATGAGGCACTTAATGGTGAATTAGCATAGTTTAATGGGAAGCAAGCACATGGATGTACATGTGCACATGCTTACATCACAGTAAATCTCCCTAATCCTAAGTAAATTTGCTACCAGCAATGGCATCAGCACCGTAGCACTTGTGTAGACACCTGGCTGGGAGCCAAATCTGATCCTGGTCAGCCATCCACAGGAGCCTGGACAGGGACTACAAGTCCCCGTCCCAGCAGCAAGGAGCGCCAATCCCCCTGCTCCCAGATCACAGAGCAGATCCTTATCTCCCAGCCCCGGCTCTGTCATTGTGATTGGGAAGTTGGGGGCTAAGAGATGCTTATCTCCCAGTAGCAGCCCCATGGTCACGGAGCCACTGCTGGGAGATAAGGGTCTCCCAGTCTGAGGCCTGTGACCGTAGAGCTCGAGCCTGGAGATCAGGGTCTTCTGCGGGGCTCAGGCTGGGAAATAAGCAGATCTTTCCCTGACCAGGAGAAGATCTTGAGTGGAGCTGTGGGGAAACAGGATGGAGGGGGGCATTTGTTCCCTACCCAGTGCCATGAGCACTGAGCTGGGAGAGAAACAGCAAGCACAGAGCCGGAGGGGGAACAAGCTCCCCAGCCCCCACTCCGCAATCACAATTGTAAACACAGGGCTCCCAACATAGAGACATTTCCCCACCCAGCCGGGAGCAGGCTGGGACCTGCCTCTGACCAGGACAGTTCCCAGCAGCCCCAGACTGTGCAGGGAAGCACATGCAGCCTAAGAGTGGCTGGGGACTGTCTGGTTATAAAACTGCTGAAATGGCTTTTTGTTAATCTACTTCCCAATATACAGAAGAGGGCTATAACAGGATGGGGAGCACAAGGAAGTGCACATAGCCACAGTTTGCCACTCTTCACATCTCCCAAGACCTGCCAATTCTTTGCCACTCTTCACGTCTCCCAAGACCTTCCCTTCAGCATACTTGAGAATAGTTCTGGGGGACATCCCAGAGCAGCTTTTCTACTGCATTACTTGACCTGAGGCACATGAATAGGAGACAGAGTGGATGGCTGTAGTATCTACTCAGCTATGTTTTTCTATGAGGGTGCTAGGAACATGGTGTAGACATCCCCTCCATCTCTCCATTTAAAAAGAAGCAAACTTACATTTTTACTTGTCTTTATGGATTCCATACTTGGAACCGGGCACCTACATTTTAGGCACATGACTGGTCAACATTGCCATGTTTTAGTTCCATTTTGGATCTGAGTCTTCTACCAGTTCAACAAATAAATGCAGAATGTAACTATAATGATAGAAAGAGTAAGTACAGCTGTTTGCTGCACTTAGTTTTTGTTCATATGGCTGGCTTTAAGTCACATACAGGTAGATCAGGAGTGGCAGGTACGGGGGTGGGTGGGATCGGAGAAAGCTAGCAGGTCCATGTGGGAGAGGAGGGGGATAGTTGACAGGATCCAGTGGAGCTGGTGAGTCTGTGGGGTTAAGTGGGGGTTGGTGTGCCTGCAAGGGGGCTAAATCAAGGGGCAGAACATAGCCTACGCAGTGTCAAGGGGAGGAGAGGAAGTGAGAATAGCACAGCTGCAAGCTGGGGTAGGTGGCTGGGCTTTCCCAGCCTCAGGGCTGGTCTGTGAACATGTACAGGTATTCAAAATGTAACCCAGGCGGTACTCCAAGAGGTACCCCCCTCTACAATTGACGGGATCAAAGCAGGTGCACAAGCGCTGTGGGAGGTGTAGGGACTCTCCTCCCCCTATAGAGCAGAGCCAGACCACCACTGGGGACTTAACCATATACCTTCTAATGAGGGAACAATACTGGGAACATAACAGGCATAATCAGGGGGTATAGTGGACACTACAGTGCCCCAAGGGGCAGGATTCAACAAAGGTTAGACACTTACAGTCATTGACAAAAGACAGGGTTAACAAAATATAAAACACAAACAGCAGAGCAACCAATACTGGTTAGTAAAATATAAAAAGGCACCAAATACAGAATGTCAAAGGACAAAGAAATATAGGGCCTAGGTACCTGGAGAGGTAGGCAGGTGGAAAACACAATGGCTCATTTCCACTGCAAGAGGAATTTTCCCTTGTTATCTCACACACCCCAAATCACCAAACCTGGGACTTGAACTCAGATCTCTCACATAGTAAGCAGGAACACTGCCACACAGCCACCAGTGCTGGTATTGCTTTAAGCTGCTAGGGGTCTTGACCTTCCTGGAGCCCCAGCCTCATGTCAAGCTGCCTGGTCTCTGATTGGAGGAGCTGGAAGCCAAGCTGGGAACCCCTCAGGTCGCTGCTCAGATCCTCCTGCTGGCCACAGCCTCTCGTAGGGGATCCTGGAGCCCAGCAGGAAGCCTCTCCTGCCAGCCACACGCTGCGCTGCTGAGGGTCCAACTGCTGCCTGCAGGTCCTGCTCCTTCAGGCTCTTCTGGAACAACTGCTTCTGCCCCACTGGCTCAGCTCTTTCCTCATAGTCCCCCGCTGGTCTCTCCCCTGAGTCAGCCTTGCTGCCCCTTTTATCCCCCTCCAGGTGACCCAAGGGGCCAATCAGGGGACATGAAGGGTGAATCTCTGGGGCCTGATTGGAGAGAAAAGGGCATCCCAAGTCCTCCAATCATCTTTTACCCCTTCAAAACCCCTGGGCTAGGTCACTGCCAGCTAGGCCGTCACAAAAAGATCAGGTTAACCCTTTCCAAGATCAAGTTAATCTGATCTTGATCTCAGTGATCACATCTACACATGCATTAATGCATCGTGGTTACTGCGCATTAAGTTTAGTACCTGTAATAACAGGTACTAACTAAACGTGCAGTAACCGGTGCTACTGAGCAGTAGCACCAGCACACACCTTTTAAGTGACACTAATGTGCAGTAGACTAATTCTACTGTGCATTAGCACAGTAGCATAGCATTTGCCGTGACATGATAATATGCAGTAGAATTATACTACTTTGCATTTAGCGTCTCATGTAGATGAACCCAGTTAGTGCACCTCCTGAGATGCACTAACTTAGATCGAATGCACCATTTTTAGGTGGATTAAGCTCTCTGAACACCTGCACAATTGGACAGTTAGATTGACCTAACTCTGGTTAGGTAGATATAAATGTAACTCCGTACATACCTAATGATAACATGTTTATACCCAGTTCCCACTGATGTGAGTTCCTGCAGGAGGTGCAGGGCAACAGTGAATAAAGGCCTTCAGCCAGGACTGTTCATTCAGCATCTTTCACAGACTGTAAATTCACTCTTTCAAAAAAAAATTGGAACTGAAGAAATTTGAAATGCCCCCAAAACAGCTCTAGCCCCCCTCCGGCTGGCAAAGTAGCACACAAAACATTCTGTTTGCCTTGGCATCATACACACACTTATAAAACCTTCCTCCTGTCTCATGCACAAGGAATGTGGCCATCTCTTTTCAGGTATATACCACCAGGAACATGCATACTGTAAAGACAAGGCAAGGAAACATTGCTAATAACATTTCTATATGGTCACTCTTATTCTACTTGCAGCAATTCCCTCCTTGAGTGTCACAGGCGAATGCTGGAGTCAGACAGGCAAACGCCAGTCTAGGCATCATGCAAATGAGACAGCACCTTCCAAACATCAATAAACGGTAAGGAAAGAACTTGCACCACCCTCAAAACAGACACTTCCCATTACGTAAAACAGGAGTTTCCGTGTAAATAAGACCATTCCTGAGGGCCTGCCTACTCCCATTTGGGAAGACAGGCACTTAAGTACATTGGTCAGTCCTTTTTAGCAAACTACTAAGCAGAACCAAGGCAAGTGTAAGTACTATTCATGCTCCTTTTATTCAGGGAAAGTCTAGTTCCCTCAGTTGGAAAGCAGAGTCCTAAGTTTTGAGTGGTGTATTAGATTTCATTAGTCAGTTAAAGGTTTTTCATCAATGCATCTTTAAAATAACATGAATTGCTTCATGAACAAATTGCTTTCCACTAACATATAGATATATGGTTTAAAATGGAACATTTACCTTATATTTTCATGCTCTCTCAGGCATTTACATTGGTGTTTTTTTGGTCCCTTCTTGCTAACATACTTTATATTCTCCTAATAATGAGTGTTTTCCTGCAGCTTTGCTTCCAAATACATATTTGAGGCATTCCCATCCCAGTAAAAACTCAGGAGACATGTCCCACAGAAGGTAAAGAACTAAACAGCAGCCAAAATTCACCACATGCCTTTTCCAAATAACCTTTTCCAGATGCCATAATGGTTTTCAGAACACAACTGAATCATCCATACATCAATATTGTTTTGGGACAGCACACAACACTGATATCAATAAAAACATTGCTACCATTGGACACTAATTTAATTATTTGGAAACACTTAGACTTTCCAAGTTGAGAAAGAAAACAACTTGAAGCATTCTCAAAGGAAAAACACAGTTCTGAAGTGTATTCTTCACAATAACAGAGTCCTGATCCCTAAAATGAAATAGGCAGACTCCTGCTTCTTAAAACAAGATACATGAGACATAATGAAAGTGGTAGCTACTGTAGCCAAGAAGGTGGTTTTTAATAAAATTGGGAAAGGGTGGATTGCATTCCCACAGAAATTGTGGAAATACAAATGTTGTCCAAGTTTAGAAAAGTAAAATTGCTCTTGTTTTTGATCTTTAGACCAAAGGAAAAACTACTGCTTTCAAACATTCATGGAAAAGTATTAAGGAAATTATTGTTGTTATTATTGTTATTGTGGCAATAACAAGAGTCCAGGATCTGTCAGCATTTTCCATTTAAATCCATCTCTTCCAGAGAATCAAATTGGTTAGAAATATTCAGTTGGGGATGAAAGTTGGAATGCAAGATCTTACCCTGGAGGTCTAAACCTAGTGAAGTCTGCAAAAAAGGAGCATTTTCATCAGTTGCTATTGCTTTGTTTTTCTTGTTTTGTAGTAATGATAAGGAACTGGAGTCTAGTCAAATCAGCATTCAAAATTTTGGAGGCTCACTCAAACTACCCACAATAGTTCAGTCTGTAAAATTCTGCTGGAGCAAAAATAGGTTATGTAATAGGCCTGTGTGAAGCAGCTAGTATTCACTTCAGATTTGGCTGATTCAGGGGACTGATTCAATTCGGTGATTTGAATCACTGTCCTGGTTCGATTCGGCTAAATCTGGTTCGGAGATTCGGCAGTAGCTGAATCTCCAGATCTCTGAATCAGACAGGCCAAGCCCTTCCCCATCCTATCCCAGCCCAGCAATGGCTGCCCAAGCTCCTGGCACTTGTAAAAAAAAGCTCACTGGGTGCTGCCGGGCGGGGGGCAATCCCTGCTGCCCCCTACTGCCCCACACTGCATAAGGGGCTCTGCATGAGCCCCCTGACCCTCCCTCACTCCCCTAGTCCCCCCACACGTGCCCCGCATGGGCCAGCTCTGGTCCTTTAAGAAAAAAAAAATGAAAAAACCCTGGACTCACTGTTCCTGCCAGCAGAGGGAGGGCAATCCCCACTGCCCCTCACTACCCCACGCCATGTGGGGGGCTCTGCCCAAACCCCTGAAGCCCCAAGGCCACTGCAGGAGTGGTGAATCCTGGGGCTTTTCTTGGCTTTTTTTTTTCTTAAAGGGCCATCCCTAGTACTTACCAGCTCAGAGTGGCCGCAGCTTCCTGCTGCAGCCACCGGGGCTGCCCGAATAACCAAAGCTCGCCGAATCTTTTCCAAAGATTCAAAGAGCTTTGAATCAGTTCAGACCTTTTAATTGGTTCCCTGATTCAATTCAGATTCAGAGATTCAGCCACGGAACTGGGCCACATCTCCTCCGAATCAAATCACCACACAAAGCTTCGCACAGCACTATTATGTTATGATGTATCTAGAATTTCTACTTCCTGTATCATCCTGAGCAGAACTCAGAATTGCGAGGGGTCACGAAGGGAAATGTAAGATCTACCAAACATTTCAGAACTTTGAAAAAACACGGTTAAAACTTTGTTCTGAAACCAAATGCATGTTGGGTAAACATGAGTGACTATATTATTAAAAAACTAGTTTAAGGTTTCCAAATTCTAACAGTCAAACTAGGCATGTCTACCTGAGATCCTTAACTGCTCAGTAGCATTGTTTACTGCAAAATAAGCATGTGTGCCTACAAGTGCACATGCTTATGTGGCGGAGCACAATTGGAGTGCTTGCCACTTAGTGTGCTGCTGCAGGCTACAGAGGAGCCTGTATGGTGAGCAGCAGGGAGATAATCCCCCACCCCCAGATAGCCATTTTAAAGGGGAAGGTGTGTGATGGAGCACCTATGGTGCTCTGTCACTTTAAGGGCTGAGAGCAGGCAGCTGGCAGGTGCAGGCCAGCCCTGATGAGGCAGCCATTCCAGATTCTGGCTCTCTGTTCTGAGGCATCAGTTTCTGCAAACAACCAAAGGAGCAACAGCACCCGGCTGAGCTGCTGCTCACAGAACACCTTTGTGGTAAGGGAGGAACTATGGGGATGGCAGGAAGTTCCTACAGACCCAGTGGGGTCCAGAGCCCCAGGAAGATGGTTTTGGCCTAGTTAGAATAAGGCCCAGTCTAAGCATGGGAGTTGACAGCTGGTAGGCCTACAAGGCCTACAAGGGGGCCAGGCAAACCCCTGGAGTAGAAGAGGGCTCTCTGGTGGGACCCAGGAGTGTCCCCTCTCTGGAGTATGGGCAACAGCAGCTTCTAAGCTGACTCTCTGTTCCCTTGCAGTGGTCAATGCAAGAGGGCCAGGGCCAAAGGCCCAAAGGGCAATTAAGCCTAATTTGAGGGGTAGGCTAAGGCCACTGTGAGCTATCTGTCACTCTGACTGGCCTGGTTGTGGGGCCAGGGCCTGTAAGGGCTGAAGGTCCCTTCGATGGGGGGCTGGGGAGGGGACATCACAGCTGAAGAGGGTAGGGGTCAGCCAGGATTCAGGCTGTTATAAGGTCGGAATGGGGCCAGAGTGAGAGCTGGGCCCAATGAGAGAGAGAGCCCAAGGACAGCATACAGGAGCCCCAATGAGGGAGTTAGACTAGGGCAGGTAGGCCCTCTTGGTCTTTGGTAAGACCTAAAACTGCACCCCACTGGGGAAGTGTTGTCTAGTGGGGCTGATCATAGCAGGACAGTCCCCCAGAAATGTTAGGCCAGTTACCTCCCGAAAGGCAGTAGGGGCACCTGATAACCCCAACCCCCACCATCTGGTGAGTCATTAAGACTAGAGGTAGCAAGGCCAGGCACACCTATGGGAGAGGCAGCTGAGCCTATGGGGGTGTAAGACCCCAGTGGTAGTGAGGCCAGGTACTTCCACCTTGAGAGGCACCTCAGCCCATGGGGGTATAAGATCCCGGTGGTAGTGGAGCCAGGCATGCCTATGGAGAGGCACCTGAGCCCATGGGGTGTAATATCCTGAGGCCCCAGCATAGGGGAGGAGTGTTGGCCCCACTGAGCTTGGCAGAGTAGTTACCGCAGTGAAGGGGTGCAGTGTTGAGGCCCCTGGAAGGGGACAGTTAGGTCCAGGTAAGTCTTTGGACACCTGAGGCGACAAGTGGGCATAAGGCCAAGAAGGCGAGTAATTGGCCCTAATTAGAGGGTGTGAATGAAGAGTAATCCAGCAAAGGGCTTGAGTCAGAATTCCTTCCAGGATGGCTAGTCACCACTGAGATGAGGGTGGCAGAAGAGGCCTGAAAGTCTGTGCCAGGACCAGTCAAGGAGAGTGAGTAGGCAAGCCTGATGGCCTACGCGGATGCACACAGGTGCAGGGTACGTTGGGTGTGGCTCAGTGAGGAGCAGCACGTAAGAGACCCGGTGAGAGAGGGCAGAGTGCAAGAGGCCCCAGTGAGGTGGGGGCAGTATGAATGAGGCCCAGTGGGGCGGAGTGCAAGGACAAATGAATAAGGCCAAGCAAGGGCCTAAGTTTGGCCCAGCCACAAGCCAGAGTAAAAAGCACCTCAAGGATGCCATCTGTGAGGCACGGGGCATGATAAGGATAGGTCAGAGTTGTGTACAAACCCCTAGGCATCAGGGTCTTAAATGGGCAGCCTCCCGCTTATTGTAACACCAGTTTACTTTACAACAAAGGCATGGCAGAAGAGACCAGGAAGACTGCCCTAGACAGGTGGGTGGGCCGATACTGTGACTGGGCCTTGGAGATTGCCCCCGTCACAGCTTACTAAACTGTTCTCACTATTCATGAGTAAATTTGCCACATTGTCCCCACCCTGACAGCAGGCAGCCGGCAGTCCCTGGGGGCAGGATGTGATTTCCCAGCCCTGGCCAGGAGACAGCTTCCTCCTGGCCCAGTGCTCCCTGCCAAGCCCAAGGCTAGCACACAGGGGGTGATTAGAGCTCCCCCTGGTGGTGGCAGGGGCCCATTGCAGGGCCCCAAGCAGTGTTAGCAGTTTGCTGCCATTAGCAGCAAATCTTCTCCTGCTTCCCTGCATATGCAGAAGCCTGCCTGGAAGCATTTACTCATGAGTAATTTACTCATGAGTAAACTGGTCCTGAATCAATGCATGTGTAGATGTGCCCACTGAGGACAGATTTAGATTTGTTTTCAGTGAATGCACCCAAACTGTATTTGCCTTCAAGGGAACACAGGAAGGAAAGAAAACAAGTTATATACTTGTTAGACAATTCTGATTTGTCACATTTCATTTTACTGTGCCAAACCCAAAAAGTCCTTCTAGAATGGCAATACTGGTATCTAACATGTTTGCAAGATTCTATGAAGTCCATTATGAGTTTCTGTGTACTCTAATTAGCTATGGAGGCACGCAGATACTATCATGATGGGTTCAAGAACAAACCAGGAGATGGACAGATGGACAGAACCCTCATGGAACTAGACCCAGAGCTAGGCAGCTGAAATTCCAAAAGTGTGATGTAGGCTTGTTATCCTTACAAGGAAGGATTGAAAAAATATATATGTTTAGCTTAGAGAAAAGGAAATTTATAAGGGATTAGATCTCAGTTTTCAAGTATTTGAAAGGCTACTGTAAAGAAGATGGAAACACTGTGTTCTCCCTTGTCACAAAGAACAGGATATATATGGCAAAATGGATTTGCATCAAATCTTAGAAAGAAGTTTTCAAAGAAGAAATTATGGAATCTCCTTCACTTAAGGTTTTCAAAAAAATGCTAGATAGGCGTGCAGCTGGGATGGTTAGGAATAGGAAATACTACATTTGTGCAGAAGTTAGAAACAGATAGAACAAGAGTTGGAAAGGACCTTGAAGGCCATCTAGTCCATCTACATCTTTCCAGTCAGCTGACATTATCATAGTCACTAAATTGTCCAATTTGGTCTCTGTAGACCAGCTCAGTTTTCCATTTACACAAAATTACTTCTTATGCTGGTCATAGGAGTCATCAATAAAAGCTGCAGGGTTCTTATGACAATTGGGTCTTATACTTTCCTGATAAACTTGTGGGGCTTGTCCCCTCCTCAGTCCTCTACTGATTCCTACCTGCATTATTCTTTGTGTGTGTCTACAGGGTCCCTGAAGAGATGCTCACAATGGCACATATTTTGCCTTCCCCACCTCTTCCAACTTGAATTCTTCAAACTCATAAATACGCAAGTGAGAGTGCTCCATGTTTGGTTTTTTTGTTCCCTCATCTTTGTTTCAACAAATCCTACAAACCCCTCCGTGCAGAACCTCCAGAATCAGAACCTGAGAATGAGAACTCTTCAGGACAAGAACCAGGTTTATTATGTGTTTCTGTAACATTAAACAGTAGAGCACTGTTCCCTGTAGATTTGGGGCACTAGCTTAATGCTAAAAAAAGACCCTACACACTCTGCAAAGTATATAGTAAGCCTGCAACCATTCACTATTTCACAAATGATATAAATCCCTTATAATTTAATTGGTTGGATGTTTACATCCATTAGGAAGATTTAAGATTGTAATTTTAACTTCTCTATTTGCCAGCACAGAAATACTCTGCAGACAAAAACTACATAACAGTGTCTGGAAGTATCTTTGAAATGAAAGGGGAAGAAATACAAGAGATAAGTTGTAGTTGGTGAGAGACCAATAAACACACTGTAAATTATAAAGGTTTGAACATGAAACACTCAGCCTTGCCTGGCTATTCCAGAAATGGAAAAAGAGAGAGGCTCTTAACATCCAAATAGGGTGAGAAGACAATGTTCCAACAAATGGATCAAAAGTGGGAAACAAATGTTTTTCATGTCCAACTAGTTTTGAAAATGAAAACTGGGTTAGAGAAAGGAATTAAAACATGGAAAGCTGAAAAAGATTCCCATGATGTTTTATAGTTTCACTTAAATCCACATTATGTTCTGCTGTCAGGAAACATCCTGTGTATTTTCTGTGGCTTACAGATAAGGACCATTGACAAAGATGGGATTTAAGACAATACTGATAGGCAAAGCTTCAGTTAAAAATGAGATAAGACTCTTTTAATTTTTCCAACCAAGGAAGGTTCTTGGCAGACATCACTTAGGTCAGCTTTATAGACATGTTTTTACAAGTGGAAAACGGGCATAGGGCAATTGTGAATCAGTTTCATAGTGATTAGAATCCAGTCCTGTGAAATATAAAGTACCTCTAGACAAGAGAAGTGGTGCTGGCTCCTACCCTGGGGGCCTTTAAGAGGAGGTTAGACGAATACCTCGCTGGGGTTATTTGACCCCAGTACTCTTTCCTGCCATGGCAGGGGGTTGGACTTGATGATCTGCTCAGGTCCCTTCCGACCCTACCAACTATGAAACTATGAAACACAGAAGGTGCCCCTATACATGGCTTTAATGCGCAATAGCCTGTTTTACAGCTCATTAAAGTATCATGTAAAAAATGTGATTATGCTAATGAACAGTAAAATAGGCTATCATGCATTAAGCATCACTTTAAAACGATGCACATTTGTTACTGCACATTAAGGCAAACTAATGCACATTTGCTTAGTACCTCACATTAGAGGTCCTAAATTTAATGCACATTAGGAAAAGTGCCTTAATGCACATGTAGACACGCCATGAGTGTCCTCACTTCTCATTAGGAAGTCTCACAGAATTGGTCCCCTATCTCTTTGTACCTCAGTAAGTCCATCTATAAGCCTAAGGATTGGAAAATGTTACATATAATGCAAAATCCTAGTTGAGATAAGGAAGCTTCAACCATAAATAAAAAATAAGACATTCCACTTTCAGTTGTACCTCCCCTCTCATCAATAACAAAAGATAATGGACTCCTGATAGTCGATTCTATGAAAAGTATGTTGGCTTAGTTAAAATAAGTGGGACTTCTGGGCATGGTACACAGAGCTTTCCATGACTTACTCAAAGGCTGTGCCCAGATGAGTGTGGACATTTGGTTCTCAGGGGACGAGTAGCAGCAGTGCACCTTGAGATGCAGCTACTTGTCCCTGGGAACACCTGTGCCACACTCACTTTGGTGTGTGCCAAGTTACCCGGGGTCCAGTAGGGGAGACTGGGGCCTGCACTGGGTTGGCCCCAGCAACCTTACCTGGAGTCCTGAGGGCCTCCTGGGGCTGCAGCAGTGATTCTGCTGTGCAATGCCTGGCCAGCAGCCAGAGCATGGATTTGGGCGGCCTGGCGCCTCTTTTGAGTGGTACGTGCTGCCCGTATGTGTTGTGCTCCACTTCTTTTTCATGGGCTTTTTGACACCCAGAAGTAAAAAAAAACTATGGGAGAAAAGTGGAGCAGCATATAGGGTGCCGTTGGAGCATGGAAAACATCTAAATGTGTGGTATGTGGCACCGCAGACGTGTTTGTGGCACCACATGCTGCATGGCCATGCTCATCTGGATGTGGCTAAAATCTCCAAGTGAGTCACTGGTAGCATCTTTAATATATAGCAGGTTGCTGCTGTCACTTCTCTTATATCTAGGAAATTAGATTACACTACTTAGGCTTCATACTCTAAATTATTCAAAATAATGGGCTTTGGTTTGGAAACAACTAAAGTGATGGAAACAATAATATTCTTCCAAATATGCTTTCTCATCATGGCCTTAGCAGCTTAGAATAAATCATTACACTAGCCGTATTTTTGCATGTTTTTTTAGAGATGGCCAGAAAATGGGTGTACTATCCCATGAAAAATGTCAAGATTTCAAACATTGTTTCATCCAGAATTGTGAAAAGCTGACATATCAGAGTTTTTCCAAAATAAAATTCCAAAAATATTAATTCTATGGCAACTAAAACCTCCAATACCATGATGATCTCAGGAAGAGAACCACTAAGCCAGAAAAAGGCAAAGGGTGACACTGGCACGCTCAGCCAGGATGCAGAGGCAGGTCAGGGAGGCAAATATTTAGCTTCAACATATTTAGCCTCATAAGAAGAATGAATATTTAACCTCATAAGAAGAATAATGATTCTCAAGACAGAAGAGAGTTTCTTAGAAACCAGAACTCCAAGGAAGAATTGACGTTTTTACCTTTTTACTTGGTGGAAAGGTTACAGTTTTTTATTTTTATATTGTGGACTCACGTGAGTCAGGGAACATCTGGGATGAGTACAGATAGTAAAAAAGCCCAAGACTGAATCGATTAAATTTTCTCAGGTTAGTCTAAACTGTATAGATTGATCTAATAAGCAAGTGAACAGACATTCACTTTTGATTCCAAAAATGCAGCCATATTTCTAAGTGGCCAGAAGCGAGGGGGTTGGTGCTGGAGCAGACAGCTTGGACCAAGGCTAATCCACCCACCTTCAAGGTGGGGTTTTCAGGGGAGGTGAAAAGCATCCTGGGATGCTGAGGTTCTGTGAGTTAACTTGAATCTTGGAGGGGAGGGGATCTGGGACAGAAGTTCAATACACTGATTTAACTGAAATCAGTTAACTATGATACTACATCCCTCCAGTTTTATCTTAAACCAGTTTTGGTCATTTTGAAAGTGGCTTATGTGCACTGAATGTCTGTTGTGTTACAGATTTGAACAGGTTTCCGATCAATTATACCAGTTTATGTGTAATTTCTGTCCCTAGCCCTGATGTTCAGGAAGGTACTGGATTAGAAGCTTCAGGGTGATGACAAGGGTGGAGGAATTAACAGCCAGGGGAATGAAATGCAGACAAAATTAATGGCAAGTTGGTGAGGAAAACTAATGAACTAATGAAATGTTTTGACAAGGGATGAGGGAAGAATTTTTACCCCAAAATCTTGCATGCATCGCTGATCAGACTGACCTGAAATCCAAGCAATACATGACTACTTCACAGACATTTCTCTCTCTATAATGATGCCTTGGAAGTGAAAAGAAACAGGTACTGAAATTAGTCAGTCCCTGTGGCTGAGTACTTTTCTGTGAGGGGATACAGCTATAGAGTAAATTCCTCCACATATTCAGATTGGATTATTTGTATCTGGATTTACTTTGTGCATTTCCATTTCTTCTATATGTTGCTTTTCACTTCCTTAAAGACATTCCTTAGCAGATGAAGTTTTTCATGCTTAGGCTAAACTAAATTTGTTTAGCAGTTTTGAGCAAAATATATTCTGTTATTCCTATAGTTACATGAAGGTGGGAAAAAGCATTCCTTACCAAATATTCTCACTGGAAAGTTTATGCTCATAACTCAGAAATAGCTAATAGCTAGAAACTTTGATCTTAGTTTACTTAGTAAATTATGCTGGGACTGAAAAAGACAACTCTGAAGAATTGTAATTCAGCATGCTAAAAGTCATGAGTGTTTATGCTTGCTATTTTCAGACATCAACAGAAACTGTTCTACCTTTTAAAGATGCTTTGCTATCCTTCTGAGTTATGGCACTTTGCTTAGTACTTGTATATTTAAAGGGCTAAATCAAAAATAGGACTTGGGCATCTCTATGATAAGCACAATAAAACTTAATCGTGCACTGAAATGGGATCCAAAGCCCATATCTAGGCACTTCAGCAACGAATGCATAAAATAAGGAGAGCTAGGTGCCTCAGAGGATGGTGCAAAAAACCTATGCACTGAGCAGGGAGCTGCCTAGAGCTAGCCAATAGAAAAGTCTAGGGACAGTAGTGTTGTCTATAGTTTAGGGATCTGTCTCAAATGTCTAAGTCCTTTTGGGACCTGGCCCTAAGCATCTAGCATGGATGAGTTTTCCTGGAGTTATGGGTAACAATGAGATTTAAACCCAATAAGGCTAGGGACAGACACATACACTGGTTTAAGTGATCAGAAACTGGTTTAAACCTGTAACAGAACAGATGTTCAGTGCATATATACCAGTTTTAAAATGGCTGAAACTGGTTTGAGATAAACCTGGTTGAATATAGTATCAAACTGAAGTGATTTGGATCAAACCAGTTTATGCAATGTCTGTCCCAGACCCCTTGCTGGTTTACATTAAATCAAACTCCCCCAGCATCCCGGCATGCTCTCTGGGCTGGCCTCTGCCCTCTGCTCCCTGACTAGAGCTCTGGCAGAGACTGCAGGCTGCTCCCCCTCCCCTCCCCTCCCCTCCCCCTCCCCTTCCCCTCACTTCCAGCTAAGAAGGAATTTCCCCCTCCCCTCTGCCTTGCTGAGAGGTGTCTGTGTATTAGTTAGCAGACCACATGCTGGCTATAGTCCATGCTGTGGCAGATGGGACAAAGGCAGAATCAACAGGTAGCTCCCTCTGTTGTTTTCTTAATGGGATGATAAACACTGAGTTAGGGGTGATAAACACTGTTATCAATTCCCTGCTCAGCTGGTCAGAAGATGTGGGGTCAACCCCTCCCTAATCAGGGAGACTTGCTGGGCCTGGCTACACCTCCCTCAGCTCATCACTGTGGAAGGGAAAGGACAGCTGCTCTAGCGCCCCCCAGCTAGAGCCACTGTAGGCATGTGCCTGCATGTCTCGGATGTCTGTACAGTTACAAAGTGATTTAGCTTAGCCAGGTTAGACTAACCTGCAAAGACTGAATCATAGGTTCATAGTTCCATAGTAGCTAGGGTCAGGAGGGACCTGAACAGATCATCTAGCCTGACCCCCTGTCACAGGCAGGAATGAATGCTGGGTTCACAAGACCCCAGACAGGTGATCATCCAACCTCCTCTTGAATATGCCCAAGGCGAGGACCACTTCCCTGGGAAGCTAGTTCCAGATGTTGGCCAGCCTAACTGTAAAATATTGACTTCTGATCTCTAACCTAAACCTCTTCTCCATCAGCTTATTACCATTGTTCCTTGTCACCTCAGGTGGTGCTGGGGAGAAAAGGGATCTACCTATTTGCTGTTCATCTCTCCTGATGTGTTTGTAGACAGCCACCAGGTCCCCCCTCAGCCTCCTCTTGCTGAGGCTGAACAGATTCAAGTCTCTCAGTCTCTCCTTATAGGGCCTGTCCTGCTTCCCTCTCACCAAGCGGGTGGCCCTCCT